AGCCATACAAAATACAAAGTGTATATAATATGAAAAACATGAATATTCCCATGATACAAAGGTACAGGATAAACATAGCCATTACTAAAAAAAGGAGAAAGGAAAGATAGAAAGGAATAAGACCAAAGTAAGCCCAAGACCTAGCAGGGAAAATATTAGATCCTGTAGCTCCACGTCCAACAGCTGGGTCAAGTGATGGTAGGATTTGCACTCCAAAGGAAATGATCAGCCCTAACCTTTGGGCCTTGCAAATTATGTCCCACAAGCTCTCCCTCTTGGGCTTATCCTGTTCAGTGCTTGCAGCTTTCCTTGGCACATGTTCCATGTTCCTTGCATTGCCAGCTTCCTGGGGTGTCTGTTGCAGTCTCCTGTTTATTCTCACAACTTTATTCATTGCCCCTCTCAGCAGTTGCTTGAAGAGAATTCAGGTCTGTAATAGATTCCCTGTCTTCCCAGGCCTTCCTTTGAAATCTCTGTGGAAGTCTCCACACCCACACAACTCTTGCATTTTGTATTCCTACAAAACCTGTGTGGAGAATTATGTGGAGCATTATGTGGAGAATACCAAGGTCTGCTGCTAGTGTGAGTAGTGCTTGCCCCCCTACAGTGATGACTGCCATAGTCTCTGAGTGCCTGGATGGCTAAACATGGGGAAACACTTCCTGAGTGAGCACGGTATCCTGGAGCTCACAAAGCAAAGTATTTCAAAGAAATTTATCATTTTACACATTTGAGCTTGTGATGAACTGGGGCTGGCAAATTTCTGAGATGCCCTCAAAGCATTTTTCCTGTTCACTGTCTGCAGCACAGGTACAAAGTACTTGGCTTTTTAAAAGGGTGTTAATGTCTCCAGCAGCCATATTTCCTTTGTCGTCAACTATGCAGTGTTTCTTCTTTGACCAAAATGCAAATTTGCAAAAATTTTTGGTCCTGCTTTTTGTTTGGATTCTCACCGTAAATCTGGCTAAAAGCAGCCATCAGTATCCATGCTACTCTCTGAACATTGGGTTACTTTGGAATTTCCACTGCTAGATCAATTAGTCTACTGCCTTTACACTCATTCACACAAAGCTTTAGGGTATGAATAAACTGTAGACAAATTCTTTGCCATAATTTATTATGCATGGCATTAAATCCAGTTTGCAATAGAGTCCTTGTTCTTACCTGAATCCTCATAATCACAGATTTTATTCTGTGTGATCTTGTCAGCATTCTGCTCTTCTGAGCCTCTATCAGAGTGGTCTATCAAGCTCTACTTACAGTATTTTAGGGCTTTTCTATTCTGAATCTCCAATCTTTCCAAATTTCTCCCACAATCTATTTCCAAAGCTTCTGAACTATATGGTTATGTACCATCACAGCAAGAATACCACTGTTCTGGTATAAATTTTCTGTGTTAGTCAGCTTTTTTTTTTGCTGCTGTGACAAATATAATATAATATGATATATAAATTGAAAGGGAATCTATCAAGTTGGCTTATAGGATCAGAGGCTGAATAGTCCAGTGCACAACTGGTGTTACATGTTAGAGAGCCAGAAGTTCCAGAAACTACTTAATCCAAGAAGCTGGAAGCTGCAAAACAAGAGGGATGAAGGATACAGTGCCATCAGGGACCGAAGGTCTGGAAGCTCCCTGGAGGGTCATTAGTGTGCATTGACATCAAGCGGCTGTGGGAGTTGGGTCTGAGGTCCAAAGGTAATGGCAGCATCAATGGATCCACCTGCTCAAGCCGACTTGAGCTTGCAAGTACAGGCTGATTCTTCCATTCATCTTTTTGTTGCATCCAGGCTACAAACCTTTTGGATGGTGCCATACCCAGGATGCATCTTTCCCCTCAGTTTGCTGGTCTATGTACCCATTATCTCTAGAAATACCCTCACAGACATACTCTCAGAGGTGTGCTCTACTAATTTCCTAGGTAGGCATCTCTCAGTCTGATCAAGGTGACAGTCAAGATGAATCATAACACTGTTTTAGAATATCATTTCTTTTGCAATCATTACTACCTAGGAGATCCACTGGTTTAATTATTGACCTTATTTGCTGTCTTCTCCTCCCCTAGAAGACACTCTTCATAAAGATTTTATTATTTAATTTATTTTGTTCACTTTTTTATTATTTTCAGTATCCCACAAAATGTCTTGGCACAGATTGTATAATCTATAATTAAATGTGGAATAAATGAATGGGTTTAAAAAAGCTCTATAGCACTTCAGGCAGATAGATAGCCTTACTCAAAATTTGTTGAAAAATGAAGTAATGGCACAAAGTATAACATGAATGTAGTTGAGAAGAACTAGGAGAATGGAAAACAAAGGTAGAGCTAGAAAATGAAGTAAATTTTAGGTTAACTTCTATTCCATGAACTTTAGTGTGGTAGATCAGAGATTTGACTCAAATGCATGGTGTCGACAATATGATCATAAAAAAATAGTGGTGCCATGATTCATAGATCTAACATTAAGGCACACTTCCTCTGGTAAAGCAAAATTACTTCCAAAAGTCATTTCACACAAGGGTTCTAAAAAGAAAAATCTCAGTGAAATGTAGTGAAATAAACTCTCCAGACCTTGTAGATTGTGCCTCTACTGGCCAATGACATCATTCCACAGCATAACTTATCCATTAACAACTTCTAAAGGATCGAATATATTATCTAGGTACCTAGTACTTTGCCGGTGTTGCTTAACTTGGCACATTTTAAGAATCTAGTGGAAGGGTTGGACTGCAGATTTCCCCTACATTGGTGTTCTATTTGTTCACTTCATGAATATTTATTACCTACAATGAACCACTAATGTGTTCAGTGCTTTCCATACAGTAGTACCTAAAAAAGATCTTACCTCTTATGTCACTAACTCACCTTTGCAAAAATGCTCCTTCTTTTAGTCAGTCTGAGGGCAGTGGTGAGTTTGAATTTTGTTTTCCTTCCAGAAATTACAGTGCAACTATTATGCTTAGAGTTTTGATATTGTTCTATGCATGAAGTAATTATGAAGTTGTGGTTGTTGACTTGTGCTTTGGACTTCATCAGATCTGGTTCTGAAGCTTAACTCTAGCTCTTACTACCAAATTGGGCAAATTGCTGAAGCACTCAAGCTTCAGTTTCTTATTAAAAAATAAGCTATAAGAATGCACATGTGGGTTTGGGGAAAATTAAATGGGATATTTAAAGCATTTAGCACAGAGCCTGGAATTCCATAAGACGTCAGGAAATTTATTAATATCATCAACTAAGCTGAAAAACTAAAAAGATGAACAAGGCTTTAGTGAAAGGTCACTCCTGCTTCACTTGGAAAAGGCTTATGAGATTTCTAGGTGCCTGTGGGAGAGAAGAAGAATGATTTGAAAAACAGGCAAGAAACTGCCCACTTTATTTACATAGTAAGGAGTTTGAATTTCAGTTTTAGGGGTGGTGAACTATATATAAATTTTAAAACTGAGGACAATATGATTAGATTTATGCTTCACATTTATCACTGTGCAGGCAGAGAATGAATCAAAAGTCTTAAATTTGAAAGATAACCAGGGAATTAGTTAATAATTCAGAGAAAAGAAAATGAGAGCTTAAACCAGAACAGCAAGACTGGGAATAGGAAAGAAACCATTTGTAACTGTTCCTCTTGAATGTCCCCATTTTGTGTTCCTTTCCTTGAGAGTAATGTCACATGACCATTCTGATACTGTGATATGAGCCAGTGTTTTTTTTTTTTTTCCATTACAGTACTGTATGGTGATGTCCCCGCAAAAGACCATTGGTTTCTAAACAGCATCTTCAGTGCCGAATTCTAATGCTCTGTCAGTATCAGCATTTTAACCATCAAACCAGGGGTCATAGAGAAAATTTTTTGAGGAAGGAAAACCTTCCCTGGTTTTCTTAAGCTTCAGATAATTTTGTTCATAGTTGACACTGGCACTTACTTTCGTCATGTAGTCCACATTTAATAAAAGTGTAGTCTGAAGAAATGGAAATTCTTTTATTAAAGCAGTGCCAATGTTACAGCAGAGGATATTAGATATTTTTGTCTGGTTCTACTTCTGATATTTGAACGAACATGATCCAAAGTCGAAAGGAAGGTTTTTAAAGAAAAATCCAGTCTAGAGAAACCAAGAGAAGATTAAATCAAAGACATTTCCTACCAGCTCAGGACACTGGAGGAGAAGGAGGCAGCATGGTGAGTCACAAGCTTACAAGACTCACAACCTTTAACTAAGCCCTTTTTGGAGCTGTTTCTTGAAGTGGTATCCACAGACCTTTGTGATTGATGAGTCCAATAGTTGTGAGAGGGTGGGTATAATGGAGATGAGAAGGTGTAGGCAGACAGGAGAATGGAAGAAAATATCATCTCACTGTTTCCTCATTAAGTACTTATGATGATGGAAGAAACCTGGTTGAAGCTTAAAGGATCCAGAAGGCTTTTGTTCTAACTTGTCTTTTCCGTATACTATCTGGTTCACTGTGTGTAGGTCATTTAACTCTTGCTTTCTCAAGTGTAAAATTCATTAAACATTCATTCAACCAATATGTACCAAATGCCAAATGTGTGCTTAGCCCCATTCTAACTCAGCATGAGCATGCAATGATGTCAAAAAGAGACAAACCCTCAGGGAGTTCAATTCTAATAGAAGAGACAAATGTTGAATGATAAAAAATGGAAAAATACAGTCAATGCATAATACAATACTGCTCATATATAGTAAGTGTATGCTTTCTATATTTTTGTATTATATTTTGTATACATAACATACAAGTAATTACTTATAAAGCTGCTGTACAGTAAGTGATAGATTTCAGATATTCAATATACAATGAAGTGAAGGTAATAATGTCTTTCTTCTAAATACTACAAGAGGTATAAGACCTGAAATCTTAAAAACTGTTTTGAAAAACATTGTACTACATAAATGTAGATAATTGTCATTCAGAGTGTGGAAACGTGATGCTAGATTCAATTTTATGTTTCTCTGTTTTAGGTCATGGCTTTAGAATGGTACTGACCTCTTGGATCTGATACTTCAGTCCATATTCTCCAAAGTTCTTAAAGAACGTCATATAGTTGACTTGGCTGTGAGGATGCCTCTAGTCTGGGGATTCCAACTGGCATAAACATGATGTCTTGGGTAGTTTTTTCACTTATGCATTATGATTTCAGCTGATGGTGGCTCTAGCAGCTGGGTTACATCATATAGCACTTCTTATGCTGCATGTAATTGTTATATCTCTGTGGAGACAGAAGAGGTACCTTCTTAGGTAAATTCATTTTGCTTTCTTAGGTAAATTATCTGACTACTAGTAGTTGCACAGTAGCCCCTGAAACAATGATTGCTTAGGAAGTGGTAGTTATAATGATTAATTTTATGTGTCAATTTGACTGAATTATGGGATCCTCCAGATAGCTGGTAAAATATTACTTCCAGGTATGTCTGACAGGGTATTTTCTAATCCATTTTCATGGACTGGCATTTTCTAATCCATTGAAGCCTGAAAGAAAAAAAAATGGTACTGAAGGGATAAATCTACTCTTTTTAGTTGAATAGGAACATCTGTCTTGTCTTGACTATTGGCACATTAGCCTCTTTGGCCTTCAGAGTTGATCTGGGATTTGTACCAGCAGGCCCCTGCCTTTCTTTCACTGAATTATATTATTGGATTTCCTGGTTCTCCAATCTGGATGGCAGATTGTGGGACTTTTTAGATTCTATAATCATGTAAACCACTTTCAAAAAAACCCCACAATAAACCAAAAAAAAAAATAAACTTCCTCCTATACCTATGTCCATATCTACATCTATAACTACATCATCCATATCCCACTGGCATATTTCACTGATGAACCTCTAGGGGAGTTGGACAATGTGGTAGAACTACATGGTGCCGGTGGGTGGGAACTCCTCACACTCTTGGGTGAGGGTCTGAGCTGACCTCCATGCTGTGCTGCTCCCTGGCCTTAAATGAGATTGAAATATCAATAAACTGTGTTAATATCAAATTTATCTCCATTGTTTGAGAAACCCATTTCTCCTTCATATGAAGTTTGGATATCCAAGCAAAGCTCTGACCTAATGTACAACTGTACTTTTGTTTTTAAGCAATTGTTACTAAAGGTCATCTATGTGTGAATGCCATTTACTCCAGTTAGATTTTTGCCATTTTTGTACTCAGGGATTGCATAAATGCAGCTGACATTAGGTGTGTACATGCACATAACTGCTGTCTTCCAAGAAAATGACTCATTAACACGAATAACTAACATAACTGAGATTATCTTGTCAAACTTTCTGAATAAATGGCAAGTAGAAATAACCTAAACTTAGTGGTGAAACTGACTGATAGAGAAGTGTTGGGAAGCAAAATAGCGGTAATAAAAGAACAAAAAAATTTCTAAATATTTGGATTAAAATAGTTCACAAGTAGCATAATGCTAAATTTTCCACCAAGAAAAAAAAAAAAGGATGGATTGATTGGGTTTCAAAAATGTTGGCAGTTTCTTCAACTCTTGCAATTTTTGATCAATCTAGCTTTCTTTAATTTTGGTATAGCTTAACAAGGGCCTGATTGCAAATGCAACAGGGGCTCATTACCTTCATTTTTGTTTATAGAAGCAGAAGGCAAGAAGAAGGCAAGTGGGAAATGATGCAGATTGAAGTAATGGGCATTAATGATTCAAGCACAGATGGAATGGTTTAAACGTAGAGGCAGGAGAGTCAGGGGACTTATAGTTTGAGCTGTGTTTTGAGTGTTCTAGCTGCCATATTGTCTGAGAACCACCGACAGGGAAGGATTTTAAAACTGAGAAAAACATAAGAAGAATAACTTGCTTAGAAAAGAACAGTTACCTCTGAAATTCTTTAAAAAAAAAAAAAAAAAACAAAAAAAAAAACAACAAACCAGAGCATTTTGAAACAGAGTCTAAGGAGATTTCATGAATAGGCTTCATGTTGCCCTTGAGCCCTCAAAATCATAGGTACAAATTTGAGTGGCTTGGTATGCACTTTGGAGGCTTTTATAAAAATCTCAGGTCTACGACTCAACAGACCATATAAATTAAAGATATAACGGAAATAGTAGCACCCCAGCCTGACATTCACTCTCTGTGATTAATTATTTAACCTCTATGTACTTTTGTTTCCAGTGTATGAAGTTTAGTCTGTCCTGTCTTCTCCATAAGTGCTGTTATGGGGAGCAAATGAGAAAAAGTCTAAGAAAATATTACTTTCTGACACTGCTCTAGAGAGCACTTACCCTGTGCCAAGGACATTTTAAAGAACTCAAAGCATTTTCTCTCAAATAATCTTTGCAACAACTCTATGACATGACAGTGATCATTTTACCTGTTGTACGTAGAAGGAAACCAAATTAGAGAGAGATCAAGCAGTTTGCTCAAGCTTACACAGCTAGTAGGGGACACCAGTGGGGCTTGTAACCCCTCAGATTTCAGAGAATGGGCTTTTTGCTGCAATATTGCTACGCTTTTCTAAAGACTTTGTGAAACATCATTCAAGCATGAGCTGAGTCATGAATGATGGTCAATGGAGATATTTTAAAGATGGAGAAGTTAAAATTTGCAGGTAATTTTTTCTTTAAATTGGTGATTTCAATGGATGCTTGGGAGGCCACCTTGGGGGACAGTTAGGTAGCAGTAGGGGAGACATAAAATTTAAGCCTGAAGTCTTTCAGATTTATGGTCTTCAGATTTGATGTTCCATGCCCAGATGGTTCAGACAAATTGGTCTCAAGCTAAACCCCAATTTAAAAAGCTGTACCAGCCAGTCCAGCCTTAATGTGCTTCGCCAAAGTGATTTAGGAAGGGCCTAATGGTCTTTCCCTTGTGTCATCCTGTTTGTTCAGTGTGGCTTTTCTGGCTGATTTCTGATGAAGGGCATTTGGAGTGTGGGCATGGCCAGGATTCCCAAGAGTGAGATTTGAGGCCTGGAGCATCAGAGAGTTAGACAAGGTGTTTTCTGATCTATATTTGCTTTAACAAGAATATTTTTTCTCCCTGCTTTCCTGCCCTGGCAGCATGCACTGGTTAAGCAATGGCCTGATGTCTAGATGGGATGTAGAGCAGCGAGAATGACACTTTGGGGATTAGAGCCCGATCCCAGAAGTCAGAGATAATTGTAGGTAAGAGTGTGCTGCTCAGAGCGCAGAGAGTTCCTTTCTCTCAAGCATCTCAGAACACTCACATCTGAAAGGAATCTCAAGGTGTCGTTTGCTCCAGGGTTGTTAAAGAGCTTCGGAATCTCTGTGAACATAGACACCTTTTCTGGGATAATCTGTAGCTTTCATAAGAAGTTCATGATCCTTGCAAAACAAACCAAATAAAAGCCCCAGCAACTTAGTCTAAAACTCAGACATAGAAAACACAAAATTAACTTTAATCCTTCCAGAATAGATGCCTGCTTTACAAAGCTCTTCAAATGGAACTGAGTGAGGGGGAAAAATGTTTTTGGCTACTTTTGATTCTTGAAAAGTTCTTCCATTTACCTGCTTGAAATTTCTGAGGCACTTTAAATTCACTTTAGTTTCAGTCTCCATAGTGATGGATGGGCAGGAGCTGGAAAAAAGCACCTTTACAACAGTGTTGCAGACACTATGTTGCCGAGGAGTTTTTGTGTTTCTAGAAAATCGCTCTGACTCCTTGGACCTCTCCTTAGTTTTACTTTTTAACCCTTTAGTCATTTTTGTGGTTGTACTCTGGGCCTTATCCAGTTTTGCTGGAGCCTTCTCACACTGTGAAGATGAGAAACAGTGCTTCCCTTAGTGTATAAGGAATGCCAGGCAATGGATAGGCCACTTCCTGCCACAGGATCCTCACCCTTGGCTGATATACCATTGTTCGCCTGCTATTTGAAATTACATTATAGTGGGATTGCTGCGGTAGGCCTCACTCTGGGGGATTGTCGTTGCTTGGAGGTATGAATTATGTCATATATTAATATTACTTTGATAGGTAAGGGGCATAGGGGTGTTAGGTCATTAGGCAAAGTGGAGATGGAATTGAAATTATATTCTAATTCCTCAAATGTCAAGAACTATATTCACACAGATTTCTAAAAGTTTCAGTATAGGTCTCAGCTTATTGGGAAGCTTTTCCTTTACCTCTCTAACCTGGAGACACAGTAATCCCCCTTTATCCACTGCTTCACTCTCTGAGAATTCCAGAAGTAAACCATCTGTAAATTTTAAGTTGTCTACTATTCTGAGTAGGGTAATGAAATCACAAGGCATCCCACTCATCTTCCTCAGGACATGAATCATCCTTGTGTCTAGGCATCCATGCCGTATACATTATCCACCCATTAGTCACTTTGTAACCATCTGAGCAGCAGAGGGACAGCTGTGATATCACAGGGCTTGGGATCAAGTAACCCTGAGTCTGTTACCTCACAATGCCTATGTCATTTACCTCAAGTCATCTCATGTGGCCATTGTATCATCCACAACATAACAGAAAAAAGGATGAGCACATACAAGAAGACTTTGAGAGAAACCACCTTCACATGACTTTTACTACAGTTTATTTTAAATTGTTCTATTTATTATTCTCTTACTATGCCTAACTTATAAAAAATATCATCACAGAAAGAACATAGTGTAGATAAGGCTCAGTACTATCAGTGATTTCAGGCATTCAGTGGGGGTTTTGGAATGTATCTTGTACAGCTAACAGTGAACTTTTGCTGTCCTGGGTCTTTTCTGGTTCCATATGAATTTTAGGACTGTTTTTTTTCTAGTTCTGTGAGGAATGCTGTTACTATTTTGATTTGGATTATGTTAAACCTAGGTATCAGTTTTGGAGGATGGCCAATTTGAGTATATAGGTTCTGCTTATCAAGAAATGGGATATGGCTCCATTTTCTGATGTCCTCTTCAATCACCTTTTTCAGAGTTCTGTGGGTTCTGTTGTGGAGGCCTTTGACTTCCTTGGTTAGGTTAATTTCTAGGTATTTAATTTTTTGATGGTATTGTGAGTGGTATTATTTTGCTAATTTCTTCCTCAGTGAGTGTTTCTGATTTTTCAGGATTTTTTTTTTATTAGTACATATTTCCTGTCCATAATGACTATATTCCTTATGGGAAATTGCCGCATGTACATGCACATCTAAGTTCTTTTTTCATTCCCGTTTCTTCCCCTCCCCACTTCCTCCACATTTTAATTCTCT